TCTTTGCTACCATCAGTAGCCATATCACTAGTTGCAATTTTTCAAAGATCATCCGCTAGAAGCGCCGTTCTAGTCTCATCCATCGATAAACTGTCACCCACAAGCATCAGTGTTTACACCAGATTCTCATAAGACTTCGGCAGAGATAGAAGTAGTAGAAGCGCCTGATCCTCGCCTTCCACTGTCACCTCAATGTCTTTCAAGTCCGATATGATCCTATCGAACTTGTTGATGTACTCCCGGATTGACGAGCCCTCGTCCATCTTGCAAGTATACAATTTGGATTTTAAATAGATCCGGTTCGTTAGACTCTTCGTCATGAGGTACTTTCCAACTTTAACCACACGCCCGCAGCCGTTTCCTCCCCGTCCACCAAAAAAGCTACATCCCTTTCAAGGCAAAGGATAATCGACGCCCGTGCTTCCAGATCCAGCTCCTCCCAATCCTCATCAGACATATTTTTGTGCTTCTCTCTTCCAGTCAAAGCTTTGTGCAATTTTTGCGAAATCAGTGAATTTTTCATCTGCATCCTCCAATAAGAAAAATTATTTTTCCCATTAAATTTTTCAATCTCGTATTTTCCAACTTTACTTGTTTTACTTGTAGAAGCCATTTTCCGCTTGTATTATGTCAATCCGCTTCTCTCAGGATTTTTTTTAAACAATTTCTTTGTGTTTTACCACACAATATTCAACCACCACCTCAGATCAGAAATTTTACCACCTCCAGTCTGAATAAGGGCTCTGATACTAATTGTTGGGGCGGAGTCCCGCCCGCCGCAGCGGAAGCGATATCACCTGAGAGATAGCCCTGACTTTCGTTGTCACAAAAGCACAAGTCAACCTCTAAATTCTTGTTTCTCAAAGGAAACGAGAATAGATAATGAAATTCTTATTTCTCAAAGGAAACAAGAATCGAAAGTGATATATTTCATCAAAGTGAAATATACACTCTTCCTCTCATCAGTTCAAGGACTGAAATCTCGAGAGAACCTACAAGCTATGGCAACTCACAGATAAGACAAATACAAACACGAAATTTTTACGTGGTTCGGCAAACTAGCCTACGTCCACGGGAGGGGGGTTTCACTATGAGGAGAATACCAAATTCTTACAAATTCTCTCTCACTCACTCTTTCTTTTCTCTCAAAAGAAACTCCACACAATATTCAATTGTATTTACCACACTTCCCCACACCAAAGAACTCCTCCACCCCTTCTCTATTTATAGGAGAGAACATGGGGGCAACTCTGAAATTTAGGCGGGCTCTCGCAGGCGGGAAAAAGCTAGCACGCGGGAGAAAAAATTCGTGCACGAAGCTGTGCACGATCTCGAGTTCGGCGCGGGACGGCACGTACGAGCCTACGAGCTCGACGTGGGCGAGACAGCGATAGGCGGCCTGCGTGCGTCGTGGGCTTAGGAGCGCAGCGGAAACGTGGGTGGGACCCCCTGTCCCCCACGTTCACAGATTAGAAAGCGAAAAGATCATTTTAGTTATGATAGTAAGAGGTTTGCTTTGGTGCTCCGAAAATAACCCTTTTTTCAAATTTTTAAATTGACAAAAATAAAAATCAGTTAAGATAAGAAAGGGGTATTTTAGTCTTTTCAAATTCTTATCTAATTGCTTTATATCCTGAAAGCTTCCGTTGCTTCTTCCCTTTCTCATCGTCAATCTCTCCCTCTCAAATTTTTTTTTTCTGCCATTGACACTCGTGTTCACTCTGCCTTGCATAGAGAAATTATTTTCTTTCTTCGCTCCCTGAGAGGAGTCTCTTCCTTAGCCACGACGAGTTCGAACAGGATCAAGATATGTAATCACTCATTATAACCCTAACTTTTTCTCTGATTGTGGGAAAATTGATAACATGTTGTTTGCTAATCTCGTAATGGTGCTGATTTGAAATTAGGAACATTCTTTTTCAATACTAAAACTGTCTATTTTGTTGGTTTGATCTTGTATGCGCACTTAGGGTTTATTTGGGGTAAAATTCAAACTTTATGCAAGTTTCTAATTGTTGTTGATAAAAATTGGTCAATGTTATTTATTAACTTCATAGTGGAAATTTCCCATTTGGTCTGCATCACAATATAAAAGCGCCGACAATATTACAGCAAGGATGATAGAGATAGATATTGTGTTCTTGCAAAATGTTCGTTAAGTGAATTATGATGAAAATTTAATGACAATTTCTGTGCACAGTAATGATAAATAAGAGAATAAAAAATTTAATGACAATTTCTGTGCACAGTAATGATAAATAAGAGAATAATCTATGTTTTGCCAAATTATAACAGATTAAGAAAGTAAAGTAAATCTTGAGAGAATAATCTATGTTTTGCCAAATTATAACAGATTAAGAAAGTAAAGTAAATCTTGCTAGGTGTGAGCTAGGTTGACCGGCCACTTTGGAATTTTTTGCTAAAACTATAAAAACGTATATCATGCTGACATCCAACAATTAACAATGTTGCTTGCAAGAACCTTTAACCTGAAAGTTTCTTTGAAGAATTAGTTTAGTACTTTGCATTCAAGACTTGAACTCCAACAGTATGATGTTAAAGGCAATGGCTGACATAATATAAAATAAGCAATTACAGTAAATTCATTACGCCGATTAGTTGCCTCCTTAAACTAAACTGCTGACTTATTCAAATATAAACATCATCCATGTTCAAAAACTAGAATCAAGACTTCAAGAATTCTTTTATCCCAAGGTTAAGAAATATTCTTAAGAAGTTAGTCTATTGCTATCAATCAAATTAATAAGTAAAAGCACTTTAACTTCAGAATAATAGTTGACCAATTGTGATACAAATTAGGTAGATAAAAACTAGGAGTTAATTAACTGCGCATAGACTCTTGTTGTTTTGCACCTAGAACCCTTGTAGTTTCATTGTCGCAGAGAAACTGCGGAGTTAATTTTTTTTTGAACCCTTAGACAATTTTTGGTAGATATCGCCTCTAACTGAATTAGTGGGTCTATCTGAAGGTAAAGGTGTCAAAAATATTTAACTTAAGGTCTAATCTCAAACAAGGAAACTACACGGATAGTAAGTTCAAAACAATAACACTACAGGGGACCTATGTGCAATTACCCCTAAGAAAGATGCTAGCAAACATTAATTTCAGGCTAATGAATAAAGTTAACCAATTGAAATAGTAAAAGCTAGATGAATAAAAACTGAAATCATAGTGATATGGAGGAACTCCGAACTTATACAAGATCAAGAAAGCACCTGTTAATGTTATTTAGCATGAAATTTGTTGTTAAATTTTGGTTGATTAGAAATTTATTTATTTATATATGTTAATAAATTCTAGAAGATGATTTCAGAACCTTGTTTTTAGAACATTGTTTTCCATCAGTGAACAATATTTAATATGGTTAATATTTTGTTGTATGACTAATTTTTTTTACTAATGTCTTATTAAATAATATGCATGTCAGGTGAACCCCGAGGCCCATCCTTAATGGAATACGAGGACATAATTCTGAATTCCTATACCACTGAAAATGAATGGTATGAGTTTTATAATTCATATGCCAATTTGAAGGGTTTTAGCATTCGAAGGGATAAAGTGAGATATGATAAAAATGGCAATCTTTATTATCGCAAATTTGTTTGTTTTAAAGAAGGAATTCGTGAAACTAAGCATATGGATAGAACAGATAGAAGGTCATTATCCAGATGCAATTGTAATGCATGTCTTGAGATTTTTTTTTGATAATGAAACACGGAGATGGTTTGTTTATAGTTTAAGGGATATGCATAATCATGAGCTTGTAGGCCCAGATGAAGTTCCCTTTCTTCGCTCTCAACGAAGAGTTGATGATGTACAAATGGAAGAAATTCATATGCTAGCACAATGTGACATTCCTAAAAATAAAATTATGGATTTTATGGAGTATAGAGACGGAGGTTATGAGAAGGTTGGTTTTATTAGAAAAGATATTTATAATAAGTGGGGTAAAATATCACGAAGAATAATAGAACATGGAGATGCACAAACTGTATTGAATATGATGGAACAAAGAAAAAGGAAAGATGTAGATTTTTTCTATTTGAATAAAACTGACGATGAAGGCCATCTTACACATTTGTTTTGGGCTGATTCTCAATCAAGAGTTGACTATGAAGCTTTTGGTGATGTTTTATTATTTGACAGTACTTATCGAACAAACAAATATGCCATGCCTTTCATACCATTTATTGGTTTAAAATATAATTTTAATTCACCAAGTTACTATTTACATTCACCAAACCAAAGTCACAATGCAAAGAATAACTTTATGATTACCACAAATGCATTTGATTTTGAATAGAATAAAGAATAAGTACCTCATTTGATAACCATGCATCAGTTCCAAAGTTTCCACTTGCAAGCAAAGGCTTCAAATATTCTCCAGTGAGAATGATATCACCTATTTGAACAAAAGACTTACTTTTATCTCCTTTACTTACACATGCCTTGTAATAAGTTATAGCAATAACTTCATCTTGTGTAAGTCCTGGAGGTAGTAAGTCAGGATCTTCCTTTTCTGCTCCCTGAAAAGCAGATATGATTTTCTCTTCATGTGAATGTTTATTACGTTGGCACATGTTGATAGTATCCTCAACTTCCTTTGATTTTTTTTGTGCAAATGACATTTTTTTCTGTACACTTCTTAATGGTTTCATATTTTCTAATGTAGTTTGAGGCTTCTTGCTGCTTTCCCTTTGCTCATGATGAGGTGACACATAAGTCTCACCATTCATCCACTCTGAATCCATATTAAGAAGTTCCATATTTAAATCTACATGAACAATATTTGCTCCGACGTTACTACCATGGCTAAGTGGATTTCTCCTTTCTTTTTCAAATGATTCTCCTTTAAGACTAATGCAAATATTGCATAATTTTTCTTCAATTCTCTGCATATGATTCTAGAAACAGAGGTGATAAAAAATTAAGTTAGGATATGTGTAAAAAAGAAGTTTACAAGTAATATAATGCATAACCAAAATTTTAACCTTTGAATATAATTTGCTTTCTCTGATGTCGGATTTGAGCGTGGAAACATCATCTCTCATCTCGAAGATAGCTTGTGTAATTTCAAGCATAATTTTTTTATATTATTTTCTAAGCAATGCACACTCCGTTCAATTGAAGCCATACGAAATGATAGCATATGTTTGTCAATGTCATCAAATGTTTCATCTGAAACCTCATCTTTTTCCTCGTCCTCTTCGTCTCTTTCCTTCTCCTCCTTCGCCTCTTTTTTTTCTTCTCCATGATTTGGCCTCAATCTTTGACCAGCTTGACCATTGAATTTATTTTCAAAAGTAGCATAATGTTCCTAAAAACATATTTACAAAGATAAAATTAAATATAATAGGAAGATTAAGTGGGTACTAAGCTAGATTAAATCTAAATAAAGAATCAATAGTTAAACCTCACATACCTTTTGATTGGATGTTGTTGTATGTTGTCCTTCTGAAGCCTGAGTTGTTTCTTGTTGCATGTAAGGCATCGCTAAATCAAATACTACTACTAGCTGTAAGAAAGAACATTAATAATGCACATTTGGTTTTAATAATATAAAATAATCCAATAACCAAACTAATTATCTACCTTTTTTTTGTAATTCATGATACATTTTGTTATCAGCACGACCAAATAAATTTTCATAGTTCTCTCTTGATGCACATCGCTTCTCAGTCCAATGTGCCATTATTGGAAGACTTTTAGCATTGTAATCAAAGTCATTACCCGGAAATCTGAAGTGCTCATAATACCACAGCTAATATAAATGACAAGCATATATAGTTATTATAAGATAAAATAGTAAAAACAAAAATATTAGCTCACTTAAATTAAAGAATTTACCTGTAACAGAAGCATACACCCATTTATGTACTTCGCATTTTTTTCCTCTGACTTGTAATGCTTGAAAATAAAAAGTCAAGAGTGAATCTAGCCCAATTGTATGAAGAGATTTTTTTGACATCAACCAGAATGTTTAGATAATATTGGGGTATATAATCCTTATCATTTATAGGAGTTAGCACAAGTCCCAGTAATAGAAGCACAAAAGATCTCTTAAAATGATCGTCTGCTCCATCAGATGAACCAATACAATTTATAAGGTGTCGGATTGTAATTTTCTTCGTGAATGGTTCAACATAATATTTCAAAATTTCCGGGTCAACACTTTCATTGCAAAGCATAACAATATCACCTTCAGCACGTAATCCCATCAAGTAAACGACATCCTTTTCTGATAGTGACACCTCGTAATCTCTTATTTTAATTATACGTGTTTCTATATTTACCTTAATCATTAACCAATAACAAAGGCAACGACGCATTCTTATATCAGGAATATGTAAAATACCTCCCAAACCCATATCCACTATCGCTTGTTTTTGTACATTTGTTAAGCCACTTACGATATTGAACATTTTTGTTGGATTGCAATAAATACCAATAGACTCCTCTCTCACATTTTCTGCATTTCAATTAAATATAAAAAATAAGTACAAGAAAAATAAAATTATAACTCCTAAATAAATCGCTTAAATATATGTGATTGTGACTTTATTTTTTTTTCTTTCAAAGAAGTCAATAAAAGTTTATAGCTGTATCACAGACAATTCCATATGGTAGATCACATCAATTTACTAGTTCAGCATCATATAATTTTTAAGTATTAGATGATGGAATTTATGACTCTTTGGACTATGAACTGAAACTAAAAGTCTTTAATTTTGCACCATGGCCATATGTTCATGTGTGATAGAGAAAGTGCATGCATGCAAGCTGTAAGAACTTCTGTAGTAAAAATTGTAGCCGTCTTTTAATTAGCTTATAAACATGGAAATTATGTTTTTAATTTAGTAACTAAAGCGACTACATCATATTATATAATTAACATTAAAAGACGCCATGAAAGGTAAGTTTTACATCATATTATTTTAGGTAAGTCTTTATGTCAGGCGCCTAATATTCGTTTGTCCCAACACTAAAGACAATAGATCATATTATATAATTAACATTTTTTAAAAATGAAAAAGACTTACCTTTCATGGCCTTCACGAGATTTTTTGGAGACGGCGATCGAGTGCGGAGCGGCGTGAGCGGCATCTTCTCCAAAAAAAAATTTTCTACAGGAAAGTGCGGCGTGACTTGATAAGGCGGTAAAAAGTTATAACGTGAATTGGAGAATTCTAACTAATCATAAATTCTGTTTTTCTTCTAAATTGTATTTTCTAAAATAACCTTTTTACCTATAGTTAATTACAATTTTAGGTGTGGAACACCTCCTAACCGCCAAATCTACTAAAATAACCTTTTTACCTATAGTTAATTACAATTTTAGGTGTGGAACACCTCCTAACCGCCAAATCTATCCACCTAAAAATGTGAGAGCTATTTTTAAGGAAATTATTTACAGATATGCCACTGGTGCTCCAACAAATCTTTATGGAACACCGAAGCTGTAGGCATGATAGTAATCCCCACGTCATAATTCCCCTAAAAACAAATAACGGTTTGGGCTGTTTTAAGTTAATCTGAATGCTGGTCTATGTGAAAAAACTAAACTAAAATATTCTCAGATTAACACAGTCTCAAGACTATACTCTCCGGCCCCGTTTGGCAAAGGGTTAATGAAGAGGGGTTAAAGAGAATGATTAATGTACTTAGCCCATTTGATAATCCGAAGGACTAAATTATTAACCCGTTAAATAAGTTTTATTTTAGCCTTTATGATCAGTTTTAGTGTTTGGGAATAACAATGATTTTGACTATTTTTTTTATAATTAGAAGGGTTAACTCTTATTCCATCTAAATAGGAGTATTAGTAAACCCCTCATTTTGAGGGGTTAACTCATTTTAACCCCTCTAGAGGGGTTAACTTTAACCCTTCTATATTTTTTATGTTTGACAAATTATGGAGGGTTAACTCACTTTAACCCTTATATAGATTTGTTGTGTTTGACAGGTTAAGAAGGGGTTAAGTCTCCTTAACCCCTCACTTAACCCTTTGCCAAACGGTACTTCCACGAATTACAGTAGCCCTAGTCCCCGGACAAAAAACAAACGTGGCCTTTGAGTTAGACTATCTCCAGCAGGTGGGTTTTGGGGGGGTTTTTTGCTCCAGCAGGTGGGCTTTTGGGGGGTGAAATGGAAAATCGGTTTCGGATGGGTAAAATTTCATCTCCGGCTTTTGGGGGGTGAAATTAATTGAGCTCATGTATCAAGCCATGTGTCAAGGCTTGATTGGTTGGAGTTTTTTGTTTTACTCCTAATTTTTAAATGATATTTTGGGAGATAAATACTAGGAATTAATTTATAATTTTTATTTTTTCACCTCTATAAATAGAGATTAGTCTTGTGTAATTTGGACACCAAAAAAAATCTGAGTTTTCAACACCTTATATCAATTAATAATATATATTATTTATGTAAATATTAAAAAATTATAATTATAAATAAATGAGTTATATTAGTAATAATAATAGTAGTAGTAGTAATATATATGAAATAAGAAAAAGAAATGAATAAATAAGGTGGGGTATATATGTTGGAGTGATGGGGTTAGTGGGTCCCAAATAAAGTAAAAATCTTTTAAAAAAACTCCTGCTGTAGAGATGATAGAAAATAAAGATTGTTGAATTATGTGGAGGGGGAATAAAGTGATGTGACAGGAGAGAGAAGGTTAAAATTTCGACTCCTGCTGGAGATAGTCTTAGAACATCTACACCACAGCCTAAAATGACACCAACAAAATTAAGTCTTCACAAAAGTGTAAAATGTCAACAGAACAGAAATGCTTTCATTATTCTAAAACCAAATATTCCATGTGACAAATCTAAGGCTAAATATCATAAAAACCGCCTTAGCTTTGGATGATTATCAGATTACCCCCCCAAACTTTGAAAACATCAGAAACTCCCACTTAAGCTCAGGGGTTATAAGAAAAACCTTCCTTAACTTTACGATTTTATTAGAAAACCCCCTTAATTAATTAGAGAGTTTACTAGTAAAATAGCAAAGTTAAATGGGTCTGATATTTTGAAATTTAAGGGGACTTTTTCGTAATCGTCCAAAGTGGTGGCGAGGGGTTCGGTTATTTAACCCAAGAATAAATTTTGAAAACAGACCCCTTTGCAAAAATATTCTCAAAAAAAGATCTGTTTTCACTTTATTTTCAAAAAACGACCTAGTTTTTCACTTTATTTTCAAAAAACGACCTACTTTGTTGAAACTAGATCGTTTTTTTGTAAAAAATATTCCCAAACTTCACGGGAGTTGAACTCCCGTGAAGTTTTTTTCATAACAAAACTTCACGGGAGTTCAACTCCCGTGAAGTTTGTGAACATTTTTCACAAAAAACGATCCAGTTTCAGCCTCAGGGCTGAAACTGGGTCGTCTTTTGTAAATATTTTCAAAACGGGTCTTTTTTTGGGAATATTTTTGCAAAGGGGTTTGTTTTCAAAATTTGTCCTTTAACCCAAATCTAAATGAGCTTTGCTACAGGGACAAAAAATTTAGGACCAACAGGGGGGACATGTGGGGTGTCCCCCTCCTATTGCATAATGAGCTGACCAGCTCATTAATGCAATAGGAGGGGGACTCCTCACTTGTCCCTCCTGTTGCTCCCATATTTTGGATCCTTGGGGCAAAGCTCAATCTAAATATCAATCGAAATGCTGCTGCCCCTGCATTTAATTTGAACTTCAGCACTGTGGGTTCCGGATACTAAAAATTGATTTTAAGGGGTAGAAAAAGAAGAAGAAAAGAAGAAAAAAAAAACTTCATATGCCAGTACAATAAAACCCCTTTAAATCCCTAATCCTTCCTTTATCCTCAAAAATAAATAAATAAATAAAATATAATAAAAATTTGGTCGCGATGCCAGCGTCCATCGCCGTCGCCATCCTCCCCCTAGAAACATAAAAACTTTGGGGCTCACAGAGAGTGAGCTGAGATAAGCACCATGATGAATTTCACCCATCTCCTCCTCCTCCTTCCTCTCTCTCTCTCTCCTCCCCTCCATCTCCTTCTCCTCCGTCATCTGATCCACCGCGGCCCACAGGGCACCATCGCTTCACAACCCTCGCGCCGCAGCCGCTACCCTTCGACATCTTCTCCGTGCCCTCGCTCCCCCTCTCCTCCCCCTAACTCCCCAGTCGGGAGCTCAGCTCACCGACGGCGTCTCCGTCAACTACAACGCCACTTCGCCTCAGAGCTTCCACCCTCATCTTCACCCAGCGAGCGCACGGCGTCTCAACCTCTAACCTCTCCATACTCTCCCGACTCCCCCTCCCCGCCAGCTTCACCTTCTCCCTCTCCGGACCGCGGACCCCACCCCCCTTTCCCCTCAGGACCGCCCTCCCTCTCCGGCGACGCCTCTCCTTACTGTCTCCACCCCACGACACCCCTCCCCCTCCCCCGCGACAGAGCTCCGCCGCCGTCTACTCCACCCCGCTCTCCCCGCAGCCCGCACCACCTCGGTCACGCCCCCCCGGGGCGGCCGCCGACTTCAGCCCCTCCGTCTCCCCTCGGGCACTGGACGCGGTCGCATCGCTGGGCGACAGCCGGCTGGTCGGCCGAAAGGTTCAAGGGCTCAACACCAGACGTCTACGTGTTAAGACAGCGGACGGTCGGGGAGGGGCCAACTTGTCGGGGGCACGGAGGCTGGCGCTTTTGCTGGGGTGAGTGAGGAATGTGCTCTACTTTCACCCGACAGAGGCGACGACGGATGTGGAGTGTCTATTAGGGCTTTGATTCGAATTTTGGCGGGGAGCTCTCCCTCCGGCGTTTGCACGGTGGAGAGGATCACGCCGCGGCGGTTCCATGCTTATCACTGTCCCCGGCTAGTGCTGGGATCTGGGCGTCGTGCGGTGGCCACACGAGGAAGAGGGGGCTCGGAGTCGCATATTGAAATCGTGGATTTACGCGGCGGGGTTTCTTACGTTGAGGTAACTAGGCCTATTTCGCCCTACAAACACCACTATAATCCGTTTATATCGCCGGATGGGAGTAGGATTGGGTATCATAGGTGTAGAGATGGTGAAAATGGGAGCCCGGCGTTGCTGTTGGAGAATATTAGGAGCCCAAGCCCAGAAGCTTTCTCACTGATTAGGATCGATGGGTCGTTCCCTTCGTTCTCTCATGACGGTAAGAAAATTGCTTATGTTGGGTTGCCGGGATTGTATGTTGTGAATTCTGATGGATCCGGAGAACCCCTGAAGGTGTTTGACGGAAATGCGTTCCCGACTGCTTGGGACTGGAAGAGGAGAGGGGTGATTTATAGTAGCCATGGTCCTGAGTTTTCGAGTGAGAGAACGAAAGTTGACATTATCTCGATTACTATCGAGGATGAGGATGGCGAGAATTCAGAGCCAGTGGTCAAGAAACTTACTTCAGGAGGGGAAAACAATGCCTTTCCTTCTCCTTCGCCGGATGGAAAATGGGTTGTGTTCAGATCCGGGCGATCTGGGCATAAGAATCTGTACATCATGGATGCGGTCGAAGGGGAGAGCAAAGAAATTCATCGTCTGACCGAGGGCCCGTGGACTGATACAATGTGCAACTGGTCTCCTGATGGCGAGTTAATCGCGTTCGCATCAGATCGGGATAACCCTGGAAGCGGTTCTTTTTCAGTTTACGTGGTGCATCCAAACGGAACAGGATTGAGGAGAGTAGTTCATAGTGGAGATGGAGGAAGGACAAACCATCCTTGGTTTAGTCCCGACTCGAAGAGTTTGGTGTTTACATCGGATTATGCTGCGGTTTCAGCTGAGCCGATATCCAATCCTCATCATTATCAGCCTTATGGGGAGATATTCACTATAAAGATTGATGGTTCTGATATTCGACGTCTCACACACAATTCGTATGAGGATGGAACACCTACGTGGACTCCGTTCTTTGTGAAGCCTGTTGATGTTCCCGAATATCTTCAAGGAAGAGCTCGATGCCAATTTGACGATTGTCACTGGCTCGCTGTAAAGGCTGAAGCTAATAGCGTCCGAGCTGAGAATGGTTGCTAAATCTTTTGAAATCATGGTATGTAGCGGTTTGTCGTTATACTTGGTTGCTAGTGTATTCTATGTAATATATGAGCATAAGAGCACAACTGGTACATGGATTATTACCCTACTGTAGTAGGATATACATATAAATTATATACTTATGTATATACTGAAATAAAGTTTGCTCTGAAGCTTCCATTGTCGATGTTTCTCCTGCTGTAATTATTGATTTGTTCTTCATGTAGACGACGTAAAGCATTAATAGTCAAATAAGGTTCAACATGATTTTATGGTTTGATTTATGATATGAATTTTAGACATCCTACCTTCCTTAAAATATGAAAGAATTTGATATTTTTTTGGGTGAGAGGTTGAAAGTTTCCTTTCGACAATTTGTAAGAAGTATTTAGTCTTATATCACAAATTCGAAGTTGCCTTTGTAGAACAAAAGTTGGGAATCCGTGTTTCCGATACATGTTGGACACTTTGTTAGTACAAAATTCATGATCGCCAGTTAGAAGCAGGTGGTAAGCCTGTAGCTTTCGGTGTTGAGATTTCATTTTTAGCGAGACGCGTTGCTGAGATACTTTATTATTAAGGTCTCACATAAGACATGTCAATAATGTATTAGTGCATACTTGAGCTTTGCTACAGGGACCCAAAATATGGGACCAATTGGGGGGACAAGTGAGGTGTCCCCTCTATTGGTCCCATATTTTGGGTCATTGAAGAATTTTTCAAGATACTTACCCTAAAAGAAATTAGCATCCAACACACGAGACACAAGTTCATCTGCGGCCTTCATGTATAAATGTATAGTAAAACAGATATAGATGAAGTATGTTATTTGCCCTTCTAAACAAAAGCCGACTGTTTTATGGCTCATATAACTACTATTAGGCACTTTCATCTTTTGGATAACTTTATTGTGCGTATATTTAGGGGTCAAATTCATATTCATTCAAAAGGAATGTTCATATAAGTCGTGTCCTTGTGTCTGGATTTTGGACTGTTGTCAGATGTGTTCACATCTGCAAGTCATAGAATCAATGTGGATTTTACCATTTGGGCGGCTTAAGTTCTGAAGATTGTCGAGGCAATGTTTCTTCATCCAATTCACCAGACCATTTGGATCACTTGCTAAATTTACTTTTATTATCTCCTCGCAATAACAAATTCTGACATGTAATGGGAAGTTTGCTACATTCCGATAAAGAGGCTGCAGGATTCGGGCTAAGGTATCATTTCTATCCAATTTACATTTAGTGGGTAACACAATAGTGGTAACTGCTTTACCATGCTAGTCTTTGTTTCATATCCCGCTTCCTGATGGAATTGAGTCTCTAATTGATGTAGGAGTCTGCGCATGTTCGGGCAGGCGTCGTAAAGTGGCCAAGTGCCCTATATTTAGTTATGCATGCATAAGAACAAGTAGACTTTGAGCATTGTGAGTTTCTTAATACGCGAAAATATCTTTAAAATTTTGATGGGGGAGTTTCAGGTCGGCCCTTTTAGCCGTTCTTAAGATACCGAACCTGATATATGAGCTGGAGGTTGTCTTTGTCTCCAAGTTTTTGTTCTCCGCTTCTGCCTGGTGAAGATCTATTCAATTTAGGAAAGCTTCTGGCAGAAACTTCGCCTGAAAAAAATGGAGCGGTGTGAGATTGGGGTTCAGGGAGAATACTGTACATATGCGTCTCTTAGGTTTCAATATGAAATCGATCCTGTTGGAAACTAGTATCAATACCCAATCTTATTGAGTGTGCTTTATGAATTATACGTACTATTGGTGATCTGCGCACAAATATGATACTTTCATTATCTTGCTTCTGCATATCACATTTATAGCATCCATGGGTGTGTCTTGAATTTTATCTCTTAACTGCAGTAGAGAGGATGTGCAGAAGCTCTCAGCTCCACACGAGACATTCTCGGATCTGAAACTATGAAAACTAGGGATACACATTTTTAGCATGTCTCTTGTTTTACTTTAAATCGATCTAATGGAAAACCCTGTAGAATCGTGCGCTTATGATAATTGTAGGGTTACGCTCTCCTATTAAAGACTAGAATCTGCGGAAGCATACACTAAACACTAGAGAGTGTTGATTAGTGTTATATAAAGAATTTGCAAGATGTGTTATAAATTGCAAGAAAGAATGACAACAATCTCAGAAAATGAACATCACAAACACAAGCATGTATATTGGCTCCGCCTCCCCGGTGTACATCCAGTCCCCAAGCAAATCCCGCTTGAGATTTTCACTATGATTTTGAAACCTTACAAAATCAAAAGCAAACCAGACCAATTTGTAAGACCATACAAATTGCAACCCCAATTGACAAGACCATGCCAATTGCACACCGATCTCTAGACCAAGAGATCAACCCTCTCAAAACCAAGAGAAACCTTCCTTGTAGCAAGAATACAAATCCAATCCAAGCCTTGATGTGGATGTGAACGTGTACCAGTGATTTATGAATCTTTTTGACTCTGAATATTGTCTAAACAATCTCTAAGAATGATGGGAACAAAGGCAATATCTTGAAACTTTCTTTTTCTGAAACTTAGAACTAAAAACTGGAAACTTGAGAGTTAATTTGCACAATATATGAATCTTACAACTGCAAATGATGGATGACAATTTCTGAACATAGAACCTATTTATAGCCCTTGAAAAAACAAGTTTTTAACCCAAATAAACGGATAAAAATGGCTATAAACAGTCACAAATTCAAACTTGAAATGTCAGAAAACTGTTTCTGTAGTCGACTATAACTCTTAGTAGTCGACTACACTAAATTTAAACAGACTCTGTGAAGTCAGGATTTTTCTTAGTAGTCGACTACTTTGGTCATTAGTCGACTACTCTGTAAAGACAGAAAGTCTATATTTTGTCTAAGGTTTGAGTAGTCGACTACTAAGGCTATTAGTTGACTACTAAGGTATAGATATGAGATATTGGATATGTTTTAAGACTCATTCAATATCTATAACCTCTAATGGTTAACTTAGGGGATTTTTATAGTTAACCACACACTAAATATGTGTTAGTGTGTTCTAAATACTATGTGTGTATGTGTGTGAGTGATCAAGGCTTGTACAAATTTCTAAGCAAAGAAAATGTGAAAAATTACATTTTGACATTTAAGCATAACTTCTTCTTTGCTTCATATTGCCTTGAACTCATCTTATGTCTTGAGTATCTCTTTGAATATCATTGTTGATTCAGCTCTGATACTGCAAAACAAATGTTAGCACATAATACACACAACATGTAATATTTGTTATCATCAAAACAATCATAACTTAGGGTCAAGATACCTAACATTCTTCTCCTTTTTCATGATGACAAATATATATTGTTAATATATATATATATATATATAAGGTATAGATATGAGATATCTGATATGTTTTAAGACTCATTCAATATCTATAACCTTTAGTGGTTAACATAGGAGATTTCTATTGTTAACCACATACTAAGCATGTGTTAGTGTGTTCTAAACACTATGTGTGTGTATGTGTGTGAGTGATCAAGGCTTGTACAAATTTCTAAGCAAAGAAAATATAAAATTACATTTTGACAATTACGTATATCTTCTTCTTTGCTTCATGTTGCCTTGAACTCATCGTATGTCTTGAGTATCTCTTTGAATATCATTATTGATTTTGCTCTGATACTGCAAAACAAACGTTAGCACATAATACACATAACATATAATATTTTTTATCATAAAAAGAAACCTATCTTGGGGTCAAGTTTCCCAACATTCTCCCCCTTTCTGATGATGACAAATACATTGTGTTAATATATATAAAAAATTTAATCCCCCTGCATGAAATCATTAGTTAAAATCTTTTACTCCCCCTACATCAAAGCATTAGTAAAAAAATTTTAAAATTTTCTATATAACTCCCCCTTTGTTATTAGCAAAAAGAAATAAATATAATTCTAGTTAAATTTTTTTTCTCGGGTACCTTAATAAAAACATTAAGCACTTTGATACCCTTTTTATATTAGATCCTTAGGATTATCCCTTAGGAATCCAATTAGAATTTGGTTTCCCCTTGTTAACATAAATATAATTAACAGAATTACATATGTTTTTCTTAAAATTTGAAATATACACATTTCTATCATGTAAGCAAATATCTTTAGGTACCCAAATGAACATAGATTTCTTATGTAAAGATACTTTATGACATTATATATAATGTGTCCTATTAACATATTTATTTTTCTTATGAACATATCCTAATCCAAACTTTTGATTAGAAGATTTTTGAAAATATAATAAATTAGTTAAGTCTTCTTTTCCTTTGTTAAATTTGTTAACATTTAAAGATAATTCTTCATATTTAACTCTAAGTGAACCAATTTCTTTATCTAAATCTCAAATACGAATTGTCAATTTATCACATTCAGATTTTAGATAAATATTATCATTAGTCAATAATTTATTTTCAGAAAATAAATTATTATCTAGTTCATTCAATTTTTCAACTTGTGAAGAATTTGAAGTCACTAATTCTAAGTTTAATCTTTCATTTTCATTTTTCAAAATCTTATAATTAGACCTTAAATCCTCAATTTAACATAGAGTTCATTGAATGCTTCTAATAAATTTTCATTATCAAGATTATTGCATATCATCTTCTTGTGCCATGAAGCACATGTGAGCGGAGCAGATTCCTTTTTTTGTTATTCTTCTTCTTCGGAAGAGTCATTACCAAAGCCTTTTTCTTCTTATTTTGTAACTTGTTAAAGTTTGTAGACTTTGATTTTGACTTTAGAATAGCACAATCCTTCTTTATGTGTCCTGATTTATTACATTCATAATAAATAAAATTATTGTTAGTATCTTTAATCTTTTTATACTTACTTTGTATAAGGAATTTTTTGAAGTTTCTTGAGAGATAGTCAATGTCTTCACCATCTTCATCTGATTCTTCGTTGTTGGTAGATGCATTTAAAGCAATGACTTTCTTCTCTGGTTGTTCTCTTCCTTCTATCTTGAAATTGTACTTTTATATACCATTAAATTCCCAACAAGGTCTTCTAGAGTGAGTGTTGAGAGATTATTGGCTTCTTCAATTGCGGTCATTTTTTTCTCCCATTCCGGTGTAAGTGCACGAAGAACTTTTCTCACCATCTGCAATTGTGTGTATTCTTTTCCAATATTGATTAGAGAGTTGGTGATGTCGGTGAATCTTATGATCAATTCAATTCTATCTTG